CCTTCCCCCACGCAGAATCATTACAAACCATATCCTGGCATGCAACATGTGTTCGTACTGTTCCAGTACAATCTTCAGTTTCCTACAACTCGCAGGTTAAAGATTATCAACGAAAACGAGGCATACTAGACAGTACTTCTATGAGCTAATTTCGTCACCAACATATCTAAATACCCTACTAAAAATTTGATTTACCTTTCCTAAAGGGCGAGTACTTACCGGGTTCTTTTCTGTCAGAAACGCAGCCCAGCTTTCCCATCCTACGTGCTGCCACCATTTCTCTCGCCTCACTCTTGAAAAACCATTGGTTTTCACAGAATGTGTCCACTTATGACGCCGGTGTTTCCAATCATCAGCCTTCTATAAAGAAGACAGCCATCAGTTCCCGTTTGAGTTTTTGGATTGACTGCTAAAAGTACCTTTTGATTTAATACATTTGCCTTCTTTCATGCGAGGCGATCTCGGATGCGGCCCGCAGGACTCGTCTATGTTTTTGAGGACTAATCGAATAAAAGAGGACCCTCTTCTCGATCAGAAATATTGACGATATGATGCTCTGATCTGATCTGTGTGAACTTGTATGGGAAAAACCACGTCTGCCACTCCACGGTGTACATTCAACACACTGTCTCCGTAGGCGTAGCTGGGCTTCGTAAGCTTCTTTTTTTTAAGACTCGCCAAGATGTCGTGTGGGTCAGAAGGAGCTTCTCCGGGGAAGAGCTTTTCCGCAGTTTCAGTCCGCCAAGCTGCATGTGAACGTGATGAACAGATGCTCTAACATAGAACATGGCGTCCTGAGTGTACTCGTGAATGTGGCGTGGGCCGCACGTGGAATGAAAGTATGACCATTTGTGCAAAGTTAGTCCCATATTTATATACTGTACATACATTCAGTATAACAAGAGCCTCTTCCGACACACTCTATCCTCAACGGGTCATAAGATAGATCCTTGAAGACTGTCTTCAGGTACAATCGTCTGTATTTTAGACGGTCAATTGACAAGTGCTCAAAACACGGAGTTTTCATTTGCAAAACTACGCGTCAGAGGGCACACCGTACGACGTGCTTACCCTGGACACTGCCTTCAGCGAAGAAAATTAAAAATCATTCTATGGCGGAAAAACATATGAAACTTCCATAGTATAAAAACTAAATGAACTTGCAGAACCAATATTAGTTTTTAGACTCCAACAACCACAAACCCTATCAAACATATAAAAATGCTTCCCAATCAAACTTATAAAAGTGTTTCCCGATAGGTTCCTGCAAAAGACTAGAAGGAAAGTGAAATCGTGACTAATATTGAAACAGAGCGGAGTGTGATTGGCTAACGGGTTTTGGAATGAGTAAAAAAATAAGCGATAAGATCAGCAAACTAAAGAGCAATCACAATGATACTGAATATGGTACAAAAAACTGTCATGAATTCAAACTGACTAAAACTTATGTAGAACACTCATCCCTGAGATGGACTAAGAATTCAAACGCAAATTTCCTTAACGAGTGGATCATAATATATCGTTCTGACTAGTGGCGCGAATTCTGCCCAACGAGGTTCTGCACTCGGAAATAAACTCTAAGATTCAACTGTTTCTCTTCAACCGCCATTTGATTGTGAAGATATGAATGAAACTTGTTGATGAAGGCATGCATACGACAACAAGTTTTCAAAAGACTTCAGTCTCAGAAATGCGGTATGGTTTCAGTTTTCTTTAGGGTGATTCAACATCGGTCGAGCAAGTCTGCTAACTAACGATGGGCGTACGTCTTCGTCAAGAAACCAAGGCTCAAGCTCATCTCATCATTGTAGAGTAAGGGCGAAGCTCCAACTATGGATGTAGAGATCCCGATGGAAGAGGGGGAGCCACTGGGAGCAACGCCTAACGATAAGCTTGTCATTACCAAAGTACAAGGTGGAACAATTGCTGATGGTAAACTTAGGGTAAGTTCATGCTTTTGCGCGACACTTTACATGCGATGCATCGAATTCGTTTGCAGATTGGTGATCAGATTATCAAAGTGAACGGTCAATCAATTTCTGATCAGAATAGCTTCTTTAGAGCACTTCGTTATGCTCCACCCATAGCTAGACTTACTATTATCAGGTAGCTCCCTGCAGGTCCTGACATCAATGACAACATGAAAATCTTTTAGAGATGAAAAGAAAGCTGAAGAACTCGAATCACGCATTC